ATATATATATATATATATATATATATATATATATATATATATATATAACATATGAAATGGTCAAGGACAGGAAACACTGAAGAAAACTGGAACAAAGATGGATGGATACTGGTTGAGACTAGATTCAAGAAAATGTGAAAGGGAAGTGTAAGTGAGTTTATATGTCAAATAAATATATTTTGCTTAATTATGAACAAATCACAAAGAGGTTATCACATTTCATGTCAATTCATATAGCTGCATTCATGAATAAGTCAATTATAAAGGCTCCCATATGCTAAACCAAAGCTAAATGACTACTGCTTCATATATAAATTCATTTTAGTTGGTCTTTCAAGATAATTAAGACTATGCGCTTCTCTACAATTGCCAAATAGCAAGTTAAAATTTGAAGTTAATTCTAGCTTGTTTTAAATACACACAGCTAAAAATCACTATCACTTGGCTCCAGTTTCTCATTAGCTAAATGGAAATACCAGCATTACACACCAATGTTTAACCATACATGTTATGAATCTTTAAATGTTTTCAAATAAATATCTGACAACCACAAATAAGAAAATAAATTCCTGTGAGTCTCATGGCACAAATGGATATGATGAAATAGTTTACATTTGCTACAGATATTTTACAGCTATCATATTCTATGTAGTGGTGCACAATATAAAAAAATATAAAATAAAATAAGATTGATAGTTAATCTAGGCACTGCTTGAAGGTTCTAAATATATATGATATTATCAAAGGAATTAAGTTGTATTCCAGACTAAAATAGATTAAGATAAAGATTTTAACAAAGCACTAGAATTCAGAAGTGCCAAAAAGTAAGCCTTACATTAATTTGGTGCCCAATGTAAGGTCTTGCCTCTCTAATCTTCCCAAGAAAGCAGGATTCTTGAAACTGAATTTGTTCCAAAAGGAGCTTTTATTGAAAGGTTTGTGAGAACATGAGATCTGGCAAGAACTGAAGCTTCTCACTTAAAACCAGCAATTTAAAGCAATGCTAACCAAACCCCTCCCACACTACACCATTGCAGGGAAACAGAAACAAACACTTCATACAGATCACTCCATTCCTCCCTTCTTCCTCCCACCAAAATGCCAGCATCCCTGTAGAAATATCTGGGGCCTGACATGCCGCCCCCTTAGAAAAATGGTAAGCCCACCTGAAAGAAAACCAAAAGAGGGAAGGGGAGACAAAGAAAACATAAAATCAATGAGGTTTGTCAGGGTACAATTGATGAAATATATATACTAATTTAGGGGCATGCATATGTTTTTTGTGAACCCATTCATTGTGTGAGAACTGGAGGTGTTTCTAAGCCACCAGATAGACGGAATTTCCTAGAGTCTAGAATTTTCTGAACCTCAAAACGTTGTTCCTATTCTACCATAATAGGGGCGGAATAGGGACAGTAACCAGATGAAAATCAGAAATTACTTCAGGCTTCAATAAGCTTTAATGGAAAATGGGGTAATGACTTAGGGAGTTGTATTTCCACTGTGACAGGGTTAATAATATGAACTATGGGGGAAAGGACCCAACTTTTGAGACTGCTGGAAAGATTTTAGAAACTTGGTGGAAAGGTAAACTTTGTCCCCACTTTATAAGATTTAGATTCTGTTCATTACTTGTCTGCTTGTGCTTTATAGGCAGCCGTGGCTTTGTAGACCACTGGCCAAATGGTTGGAAATACAAATGGTTTGTTTGGGTGTTTTAATAAAAGTTCAGCCAAAAAGATTTTTTTCAGTTTTTCAAATGCTGCTTGGCAGTCCATAGTCCAGTTCAGTGGTTGGCTATGTTTTGGTTTATCTACCCCCTTGGTTTTTAACAGATTTGTAATCAGCAATGCTATTTGGGCAAAAGAGGGGATAAACTGCCTATAAAAGTTAGCAAACCCCTGAAAGCTCTGCAATTGTTGGCGAGTACGGGGAAGTTTCCACTTGAGGTCTGCTCTGACTTTTTCAGGGTCCATTTCCACCCACTGGTGAGAGATTCTATAACCTAGGTAATCTATCTTATCTTGGTGAAAATCACATTTAGAGAGTTTGGCAAACAACTTAGCCGCACTTAATTTCTTCAAAACCTCCTGCACCAATTTAACATGTTGAGTCTTAGTTTCAGTATAAATGAATATATCATCAAGATAAACCAAAACTCCCTTATACAAGTGCTCATGCAGCACCTCATTAATTAACTGCATGAAAACAGCGGGAGTCCGAATGGCAAAACCTTGAACTGAAAACATCCTAATGGACAATTAAACACTGTTTTCCATTCATCCCTCTCCTGGATCCTGATCTGGTAATAAGCCTCCCACAAGTCTAGCTTAGAATAAATTTTCCCCTTCACCAGATGGGCCAGCATGTCCTTCATTAAGGGTAGGAGATAAAGATTTTCCTTGCAAATAGCATTTAAATTCCTATAATCCACATATAAACATAACAAGCCGTCCTTCTCCCAGAACAAAATGGGGACGGCCACCTTGGGTCTCATGGGTTTGACGAACCTATGCTCAAGGTTTTTGCCTATGAATTGCCACAAATCATCCAGTTCCCAGGGAGTCATAGTGTAAAGTTTTGGCTTAGGCTTAGGATCTGGACTGGATATTTTTTTTTCTGGGAGTTTACAAAAGAAGAGTTGGACAGAGTTGACATGGATAATGCTGGAAATAATTTGAGTCAATTTCCTAGAAAGTGGCTATAAAGAGATAACGTTGGAGACAAAATGGCTCTTCTTCTTGCCACTGATGGAGCATTTTGTAAATTGAAATAAGATACCAGGGAGACACCTACTGATCAAAGATGTTATATAACTGCAAAACTGTGGAAGAGAGAAATAATTCCTCTTTGTGATACTAGCTCTGTTGGTTACTCCCTCTTTGCTTTGGGCTTTTGGAGAATTTATATGTTATATTTTGGTTGATTAGTAGGGGATTACAAACAAGAAGGACAAAAGCTAAAGCTAAAGACAGCCAGTTCCTGGGGAAATATACTAAAAGCTATAGATCACAAAGGCACCTAATGTACTAAAAAGGAAATATTCTTTTTGGACAGATAAAATGGAACATCAGAGATAAGCCCTCTTGAACTGAACCATAATTTACGCTTTCCTTGTTGGGAACTATTGTTGGTATTAATAGTATAATTATCATCATCATAATTATTATTAGTAGCAGTATTGTTATTACTGTGATTATTATTATTGTTATTATTAGTATTACCCCTATCTTTATCATTATTGCTATTACTATTAACTCTCCTGCTAACTATATGTAAGACAACATAGGCTACAAAAGAAGTCATTTAAAGGGAAGGTTGAAGCGAGGTTAGACTGACACATTTTGGTTTATATTGATAGCTCAATTGTGATTGAGTAGGAAAACCACAAATTGGGGAAACTATTCATTTCATTATCATAACAAAAGAAGAGAGGAGTGATGCTATATATTAGGGAATCAATTCAGGCTAAGCAAATTTACAATGACGAGGAGGGAAGAATCTTGATTGTGGAAATAATACTAAACAAAAAATGGGTTTTATTAGTTGCAATTTATGCACCAAATGGGGGACACAAACAATTGTACCAAAAACTACATAATATTATACATGATATAGAGCAGTGGTAGTCAACCTGGTCCCTACTGCCCACTAGTGGGCGTTCCAGCTCTCATGGTGGGCAGTAGGGGTTTTGTCCCCTACTTTATAAAACACCATTACTGTGAAACCGGTGGGCAGTTAGAGAAAATTTTACTACTAACAGAGATACAAAAGTGGGCGGTAGGTATAAAAAGTTTGACCCCTGATATAGAGTGTGACAATCTTTGCATTTTAGGAGACTTTGATGAAATAATAGATAAAAATTAGATTACAAAAGTAACAAAATAAAGAAGGGAATTAGAAGAATATTACCCAGAACCTTCTTCAAAATGGTAGAAGAGCTAAATTTACAGGATATATGGAGAGAGAGGAACTAGGGGAGGAATCAATACACAAATACTATTCTAACAGTCACCAATCCTGGTCTAGAATCAACATGGTATGGATGTCGATGGAATTAAATTCTGATGTAAATGAAGTAGAAATAGTTGCAAATTTCTGGCAGATCATAACCCAATGAGAATTAGCTGGAAAGTACAAAAGAAAAGTATAAGATGGACTTTAAACTGATTAGTTTTAAATGATGGAGAATTTAGACAGATGATGAAAAAACAAATGGGATTCTTTTTTAAAGAAAATAGGAAAGAAGACACATTCTTACAAAACCTATGGGATACAGCAGAAGCATATATGAGGGGAGTTGCTTTATCGTATATGGCAAAGAAAAATAAAAGGAAGAATCAATGACAAAAATATTTAGATGAAAAATACAGAAGACTCGAGGTAGAATTACAAAAGGAACCACAAAAAATAAATCTAAAACAGGAAACACAAATTGAACATTCTCAAAAAAGAAGATTTGGCACAACACATAAAGAGAATGAATCAAAACTTTTTTGAGAATGCAAACAAGCCAGGGAGGTGGTTAGCCTATAAACTGAAAAGGCATAAAGAAGAAAAGCGGATAAATAAACTGCAAGATGAAGATGGAATTTATGTCACCAAAGTGAGGAAAAAAAGAACATAATTCAGGATTTTTACATGAAACTATGCAATTACAATGAACGCTACACAGAAGAAAAAGCATTACAGTGTTTAGGAAAAGTCGATTTGCCTAAAGTTCCAGAAGAAATTAAAATCATGCTAAATGAGGAAATAAGAATGCCAGAACTAATAGAGGCAATTAAAAAACAAAAGAATAACAAAACTCCAGGCCCAGATGGGTTACCGACAGAAATATATAAAGAAC